GGGTAAAAAACTTAACTATTATCAGGAGTAGAGTTGTTCTCCCTCATTGATCCTACTTGGGCCCCCAGTGAGCCCTGACTCCATTACAGAAGCCTTGGGAATTTCCTTTACTTTTCCTGGCTGCAACTGTAGCCCAGTCACTTCCCGTTCTCTCCTCTCTAAATAGGGCGAATGGGACAAATCCTGAAAAGGTGCTTAGCATCTGCAGGGGCCATTGACTCTCCCATGTTCAATGCATCAATGTTTTGTGTGTGCACTTTTCACTGCAATTGTTAAGGCTGCTGTTTGCTCCAGCGATAAAACAAAACCACAAGAGGAAGATTTTATATCTTTCTTCCTGCAAATTATGTTGTGAATGTTAATTCCTCATTTAATTGTTATAGAAAAAAACAAACTACACTCATGACAGGATTTTCAGTGTCACTGGTTTCCATGTTTAAGGATGTGACAGCACACTGTTATGGGTTTAGTCGGGGGTGGCAGTACTGAGGAGGGAAGGATGGGGGGCTACCGCCCCCTGCAATAGAAATATAGTGGGAGCTTAAACATGCACATATATGGGGGGGTTACAGAGGTGCTAGTGGAGTCCGGAGGAGGTGAGGTGGGTGCAGCAGTGCATGGGATGAAGCTGGGGATCAGGCTGGAACTGCGGGGAGTCCAATACCCACCCTGGAGCTGGTTGGCTTTCCCCCCCACTTCCCGCTGAGTCTCAATAGCTCCCCTTGCTCCCCTCCCATCCCTCCACTCCCACATTCACAGCGAGGTTCCCCCCTCTGGGTTTGGATGCATGAAAATAGGAAAACGCCCTAAATTCACGAACGCTATTGATACAATTTGTTCACAACAAACACTCACCTTGCTGCCAAGCCTCTCCCAGGTTGACCTGTTTCCTGGAATTCCTTTCTGCAATACGGCCCTCATCCAAAGCCTAATAAAGTCAGAGGCAGTCTTACCACTTATTTCATGGGCAATGGACCATACAATAGATTTTATCAGGTTCAACTTACTCAAGGCTGGGACTTGACAATTGTATTACTGAGACGTGCCCAGAATTTTGATGGAGCTGTACAAATAATACTTATAATTAACAGATTGCAGCACACGTGTTATAAATATCACTTACACCAAACAAAAATTCTAGAATTCAGTATATTATAGTCCCCAGACTATATTGTTGGAGCAGAAGTCTCCATGGGAAATCAGACCTAGTATTTTTGTATCCAATAATAAACACTGTCCCCTATATGTTTTCTCTATAAAATTCACCAATCCCTCCCAGCGCCCACTAGAAATATACCCCATCAATGATGATGCCTTGTTTACAATTACATTTTGAGACCAATCAGTTAGCCAGCTTTTAAACAATGTAATGTTTATATAATTCAGTTTTTTAAATCAAAACATCATGAGGTACCAAGTTAAATGCCTTACAGAAGACTAACTATATTATATCAACAAAATTATCTTCATGAACCATACTGGTATTCTCATCTATCTATCTATCTATCTATCTATCTAAAATTAGTTTGACAGGATCTCTTTTCCATAAATCCATGTTGATTGGCATGAATTCTATTACCCGCCTTTAATTCTGTATTAATCGTGTCTGTATCAACTGCTCCATTATCTTTGCTGGGATTGATGTCAGACTGACAAGCCTATAATAACCCAGGGCCTCCTGTTCACCCATTTTAAATACTGGCACAACAATAGCTTTCTAACAGCCTTCTGGAGCTTCCCCAGTGTTCAAGACTTATTTGAAACCAACATTAATGGGCCAGCCAGTTTCTCAGCCAGGTCTTTTAAAATACACAACTTTCTCCAAAATGCTCTTAGTACTCTTTCTAGAGAGATCACCTGGAGAGTGAAACTTCCTCAAACTGCAGGGCTCTGTTGTAGAAACCTCCAGATAGATTTTAATTTTCTACATATTTTCTAAAATGTACATTATGCTTCCCCATCAAGTCCCAGCTTGATCCTGTATCTCTGTCATGAAGTTCCAAGTATAAAGCAAATAATATAGAAGAAACTGATAAAAGATGAAGTTACTTCACAAGTGAGTGAGAGTTTGAGGTTAGCTCTGCTAGCGACTGTTGCTGTTACTCAATCTGACTCCTCTGTGAGCCACAGACTCAGCATCTTCTATTAGGCGTGTTTTAAGGGCTTAGCCCTAAGTTCTGCAAAGGATTCTTGGTCATTCCTGGATAAATATGACACTATTAAAAATAAATTCCGTATTTTCTGTGTCATGATTACAGCTGACAAGCCTTGGCTGGAGGAAATTACAGTCTTGGTTGAAATACTGGCTCCCTGGAAATCAAAGGGAATTTTGTCATTGACTTTCTGGGGCCAGGCTTACAGCCTGACCATCTACATCGATTAAACATCCTCAGCCTGGGACAAAAGTGACTGAAGTGAATGGAAAGAAACTCACTGGCTGCAATGGGCTTTGGAGGAGGCCCCACGTCTCAGAAAGAAATTCAGGAAACTCTGTTTGTTTGTGCAGGTTGGAGTTCATACTACTCTAATTGCTGGTCTAGTCAAGGAGTGTAACCTCATAACGAAGCTACGGCTTTATTGGGATAAATGTGCTTATCTCTAATAATATGTATAAAACCTCTTTGTTGTCCTTGGCCCTGCCATTATGGATTCTTCTCTGATTTCTTTAGCTTTGCTTATATTTCTGCACTTCATTACTTCTAATTTCTAGGCATTGCTATTTACTTCCGCTGTTCCCCAATTTTTTAAATTTTTTTCTAATTGTTGCCTACACTTTCCGTGCAGACTGATCCCGGGGAGACAAACACACGGCACTCTCTTCTGCAGGATCTGCTGCATGACAAGCACGGCTTGCTGCACTTTAGTGGCAATAATGGAAAGAGAATCATTGTAAGACTACAGCCTCTGCCTAGTTAAGGCTGTGATAAGTTAGAAGATAAAAGATTGTAGGGTCCAGGCACGAGATAACAGCAACCCAAAGAGGGAAGCCTGGGATCCCATGCCTAAGCCAGAAGGCTTCCCCATTGTTGAACTCTTCGTCTATACCCTGAAAGGGTGGAATTGAATGTGAGACCTGGCTGGAGGGCTGAGTCACTGAAGGGACAGATTGTTGCAGGGAAAGGGGAGCACCTGGAAAGAAAACAGCCTACTGTGCCCGCTGACCTTGAGGTGGTGCCAGGGTGAGTGTTCCCCTTCACAATCCTCCACATCTAAAGGGTAGATTTAAATAATAACTCCCCAATCTGTGTGACATTTCTGAGTCATGGTCCAATGACAGAGGTTAGTTTCAGGGAGCCTTTAAGGTGGCGTTGGATAAGGCTTTCAGTAGATCACTCAGGGTTCATTCTTCATCTTAGTTCTTAAGATTATCACATCCCTCCTGCCTTTCCCTGCTCTCCTTTCCAGGGAGATTCCCAGCAGGTCCTACCAACTCTGTTCAGACTGAAGAGGGCAGGCCCTTCATACCCAGCAGGCTTTCTTAGCAGCCTACACCTCCCATGATTGCTGGACTACAAGTCCCAGAATTCAGGGGTGCATTCACCTAGGTTCACCCTAATGGGAGGGGTCAAATATTTAAACAGTAAAAGGGAACAGTATTTAAATCTGAAAGGAATTTTTGTATAATTGCCATTGAAGGCGTCATTATCTATAACACCAGTAAGGAGCTGTTAGGGTAACTGTCCCAAAAAGAGGTTTTCCTGATTACTGACATGACTGTCAGCTAACACTTTCATACCCACTCTCTTTACAGGGTACTAAGCTTTGTCAGTCACTCAAGCCTCTGTGGCCCAAAGGGACCCCCAGTGTAACTATGACCTGTTTCATAAAAAGGGACACCGACATAGTGTACATTCTATAATTCTGGTTGGGATCCCACTCCGATTGCTAGAGGGCAGCAGGAGGAGATCTTAGAGGGGTCACATGACCCTCTTCTATATGGGTCAAACCATCCCAGAACGGATTGGTCAATCCCACTCTTGGGGTGGTGCTATGCACCTGAATCCCACTCTGACTGGCAAAGTGAGAGAGGAGGAGTTCTTAGTGGTGGCCCCATGCCACCTTGTGCTTCTGGTTACATATCAGTCTCTGCCTTGGAACTTCATCAAACACCCTCATGGGGCAGGCCTATGGACCATCAAACAGGCCAGAGACAGGCAAAGAATCCAGGTCTTCTATGTCCCAGGTCAGTGCTCTTGCCATGAGAATATATTGCCTTCACTGTTCATACATTAACAGCCCCTAACACAATGCCTTTTCCCAGTAAAAACAAGTCGCTCAAGGACTGGTCCCTGCAGAGGTGATTGTAAGGGCTGTGAGAGAGAGCTGGGCACAGGGGAGGGAGATAGGGCACTGAAGAAAGGAGCTGGTTTGTGGAGACAAGCTGGAGGTAACAATCATTTGCTGCTGCACAGGGATGGCACAGGAACTGTGTAGCTCCATTGTTTCTCCCTCTCCATGGGAGGACCCCATGCGGTGGCCTCTGTTACACCCAGACTTGCAAATGTATTCCCATTTCTATGAGGCTGGGTCTTTGGGACTTTTGCTGCTTCTCTGATTCCTGCACAGGAACCTCCTGCACATGGCCATGTCTGGAAGCTCAGGCACAAGAGAAAGGGACCTCGTGGGGCAGGTTTTGGAAGTGAGTGAAGCCGAGAGACGGTTGACATGCCATGGAGCACTGAAGTGGGTCTTACACATCATGCAGCCAAACTGTGACTGAAACCAGCTCCTCTGACAACACCACCAGCCACACAGATATGTTCAAGGTGGTAGGAATCGGTAAAAGATTTACCCCAGTGAGCTCACAGAGACATACAAGGGTGTGTCCTCTTGTCTAGGAACAGCCTTGGGTGCACTTAACACATGACAGGGACCTTTTATTTTATTTATATTTAATGTAAAAGAAAAGAAGAAAGGGATTTTGATGGAAAAGAAATTGAAAAACAGCCCCCACGTGCAAATCAAAACACTCCCACACTGGTTTGCAATACATCTCCACAATCAGTTACTTTTATTAAAAAAAGAACAAGCTATTATGAGTGATACAAGGGCTGCTCTGTGGATTTTTTCCAGCTCGCAAGATTCGTTAGAGCCCAAATGTAAAGGATCCAAGGATTTAACAAGCAAGGCATCCTCTGCCAGATTCCCAGAGATCCTGCATTGACATCTGCTGCCATCACTCACTCCCAGAACTGCAAAAATGGAAGAAACTCTCACATTCTATGTTTACATCCAGTCACACAAGGAAAAATGGCACTGCATTTCAAATCAGAAGCAGAGCAGGAATTTTCCCATCATTGAATGGTGCGTACAGATATTCCTGGTTATCTCAAGAGCAGGGGATTCATTTCTCTCCTGCAACATTCTTCTACAGAGATTTAATGGAGATAGATATAGCGAAATAGGTGAGCTAGCTGCCTACCTGCCCACCTGGTAAATATATTTGACTTTGGAACATAGATATCCCATCCCTTTACGCCTTACTCTCTAGTCAAAAAGGCAGATTATTAAAAAATAAAATCCTTCCTATTAACCTTCTAAAAAGAGAAGAAACAACCAAACATAGATAAGTGAATTCAAAGGGTGAGAAGAACCACTGCATATTGAATATTGGAGCAGCTTTAAATATGATGGGGTGCCCACACAGATGGGAGAACACCTCCCATTGCTCCAGGTCAGGGTGTGCAAACTATGGCCCGTGGGCCAGATCCGGCCCGCCAGCCGTTTTAATCTAGCCCTCGAGCTCCCACTGGGGCTCAGGGTCGGGGGCTGCTCCGCGAGGCTCCAGAAAGCAGCGGTATGGCCCTCCTTCGGCAGCCAGGGGGCTCCACTCCGCACATTGTCCCCACCCCAAGTGCTGCCCCTGCAGTTGTCATTGGCTGGCAACCGTGGCCAATGGAAGCTGCAGGGGCGGTGCCTGCAGATGGGGCAGTGCGCACCAGAACCGCCTGGCCACACCTCCTCGTAGGAGCCAGAGCAGGACATGCTGCTGCTTCTGGGAGCCACTTGAGGTAAGCGCTTCCCGGAGCCTGCACCCCTGAGCCACCCTCCCCCCCACAATGCCCCAACCCCCTGCCCCAGCCCTGATCCCCCTCCCGCCCTCTGAACCCCTTGGTCCCAGCCCGGAGCACCCTCCTGAACCCCAAACCCCTCATCTCCAGCCCCATCCCAGAGCCCACACCCCAGCTGGAGCCCTCACTCCCCATCCCTGCACCCCACTCCCCCTGCCCTAGCCCTAGCCTCTTGCACCCTGAGCTCCTCATTTCTGGCCCCACTCCGGAGCCTGCACCCCAGGGGTGAAAGTAAAATACAGCTCTTACCGGTATGGGGCCCACTCTGCCCTCCCCTGGAAGGGGCAGGGCCTCAGGTGGAAGGGGCGGGGCCAGGGGGGAAAGTAAGTTACAATTCTTACTGGTGCAGTCCAAATGCAAGCAACTGACCTCCCCTACATACGTCACGGATCCCTCCCATTGTGTGACTTAGATATAAGAAAGTAAAGCTACGACTACTACTACCAGCGCTGTCGGTAATAAAACTTTAACACTGGAATAAGTGAAAAAATAACTGAAAAAGTGAAAACTCACTGTCACATTTTTCTCCTTGTCCTCCCTCCTCCTTCCGCCCGGCTGCCGACGCAGCTGGGCTCCGTGCTTCCCCTCCCCCTAAGCTGGCACTCAGCAGGGGCTGCAGCGGCTCCCCTCTAGCTTGCAGCAGGGAGCAGGGGGACTGGCTGAAGGAGAAGCCTGCCCAAGATGCCTGCAGGCGGCATAAGAACATTTTAAACTTAGCTGTTCACTCCGCAGTTCAGCCCGTGGGTTAAGGGGCCAATTCTGACATCCTTGTTAATTTCACTCACAGTTGTTGGGGTGTTAGATTTGAACTTGGAGATGGTTCCTGATTTTGATTGTATTTTTTGTGTATTATACTATTGGCGATCGCCTCATCCAGGGGGCAGAAAAGAACTGCCCCTGCCTTGGTCACACACAAACCCACACCCCAAAAACTGTGAGTGAAATACCCTTTGGACTAAGGGATGGTGAATTGGGCTGGGAACCTGGAGGCCATGAACTGGAATCTAATTTCTACTTCTGACTAATATTAAGTACTCAGAGCCTTCACATCCCTTATTATTACACAATGTCTCATGCCCCATGGAGAGAGTTCACAGTCTGGGAATAAAACACACAATTTTGATGTGACAGATTATTGTCCCATTGTCCTAGTCACACTGTCTCCCAGATAATAATCTGTGTACTTGTCTTAATTATTTGTCTTAATTACTGGAAATGCAACTGTGTGGTGTTGGAACAGTTTCAGCAGAAAAGAAAATGTATCTGTATTTTTTATTTATTATTATTATTATTAATAATAATAATTAGTAGTATTATTAAAGACATGTATTAGGCCCTTGGAGTCCTAGTGACAGACTAGGACCTTATTATCTCAGGCTTTCTACTGAGGTGTAACTAGGACACACTCCTTGCACCAAAAAATTTATAATCCATGTATATGAGGAGAGAAAAACAGAGAGAGATAGAACAAGAGGTAGAGAACAAGGAAGTAATGAAACAATACAGTTTACATCTTGGGCTCCTGTCTGTCTTGAGTGGATAGTTAATGAAAGCACAGCTAAAATCCAATTTAAAATATTCAAATTGAAATTTCCTAAAGGATGAGGTGTTGGATATTTGGGCTGCATTCCAAAAGGACCGGCCTTTCTAACATGTCTAATCCTGGCAATTGGTGATTAAGGAAGTATTCCCAACTGTGAGTCTTCACAAGAATGTTTGTGCAGAGTCCCACAGAGAATCAGGCATTTAGACTAAAATGGACTCATTCAGACGCTTCCGTTTCTAAATGTTGCTCCTACCCACCGCAGTCCTGAAGCTGTTCAACCCTGTTCAATCAATCACCACGCTATAGCATTTATCACCATATACATCTGACACATTTCCATGCCCCTTTTTCATATTTGTCCCACCCTCTGGTATCATATCTGGACATGTATACTTTTGATGTGGTCAGGCGTTTTGAATTTTTTCATTTTTTATTTTTTTTGAACGGGGAATTCTAGAGGTGATAATTTATGTGTGTGTTTACATGTTAAAGATCGGGGAATAACAGGTTTTTAGAGAAAAATACTTTTTATGGGTATTTGTAGATATCTTAGAAAATAAGACAGATTATGACAGGGAAAATGTCTGTAAAGAGAAAGTTCTCAATGTGTTTCAGAAAAAAATATTAGTTATTTAGAAAACATAAGGGTTATACATGTAGGGTATTAAATAAAGCGGGTTATGACAGGAAAGAGTTTTAAAGGTGTTTAGAGAAAAAACAGAGATTTTTTAGAAAATAAAAATGGTTATTTTCAAATAGAATAGGCATGTGTTTTTTAGAGAAAATAAAAAAAGAATGAGAACAGCTGAGAAAACCAAAAAGTTGTTATAGAAAGAGAGAAAGTTTAGAAGCAGCAAGAAAACCTGTATCACTTAGCGCATAGCAGAGAGAGGAGAGGAGAGGAGAGGAGAGAACAGTTTACCCGGGTTGGCTACCTCCCGGGAAATCCAAACAATTCTGGTGAACAAGTCAGTGAACCTTGGGGGCAAACCATGCCTGCCCGCTGGGCCAATCAGAATCTGTTCTATAATTACATCATAGAATATATTTACCGAATCAATTATGGCATGGCTTTTGACCATTGTTCCGTTTACAACAATATTGCTCTTTTGTTGAGCTAATTAGAAATTGGCTTTTGTAGAATGGGTTACTTGAAAAATTCTAGCCAATGATCATTTGATCGACTTGTATAAATCTGTGCTATTTGGAAAGTTGGGTTTCAAATTGGAAACCTATAGATTGTGAGCATGTCCTTTTACAACATGCCTACAGATGCCAAGAGGCCTAAATGTCCTTGGGATGCACCTGTGCATTTTCAGAAGAGACAACCCATTTACACTGATTTGGTAAAGAGGTATAACTGATACTGAACCCCATGTTCCAACCTGAAATTGAACTGAAGAACCAGGAAGACTTTATGGAGTTTTCCCCGGTTTGTAAGTAAGGAAAAATATTAGGGCTGTCAATTAGTTGCAGTTAACTCATGCAATTAACTCAACAAATTAATTGTGATTAAAAAAATTAATCATGATTAATCACACTGTTAAACAATAGAATACTCATTGAAATTTATTAAATATTTTCAGATGTTTTTCTACATTTTCAAATATATTTATTTCAATTACAACATAGAATACAAAGTGTACAGTGCTCACTTTATATTATTATTTTTCTTACAAATATTTGCCCTGTAAAAATGAAAAATACTATTTCTTTTGTTTATCAATTCACCTCATACAAGTACTGTAGTGCAATCTCTTTATCATGAAAGTGCAACTTACAAATGTAGATTTATTTGTTACATAACTGCTCTCAAAAACAAAACAATGTAAAACTTTAGAGCCTACAAATCCATTCAGTCCTACTTCTTGTTAAGCCAATCGCTAAGACAAACAAGTTTGTTTACATTTACAGGAGATGCTGCTCCCTGCTTCTTATTTACAATGTCACCTGAAAGCGAGAACACACATTTGCATGACACTTTTGTAGCAGGCGTTGCAAGGTATTTATGTGCCAGATATGCTAAACATTCGTATGTCCCTTCATGCTTCGGCCACCATTCCAGAGGACATGCTTCCATGCTGATGATGCTCGTTAAAAAATAATGCGTTAATTAAATTTGTGAGTGAACTCCTTGGGTGAGAACTATATGTCTTCGGCTCTCTTTTACCCGCATTCTGCCATATATTTCATGTTATAGCCGTCTCGGATGATGACCCAGCATATGTTGTTTATTTTAAGAACACTTTCACTGCAGATTTGACAAAACGCAAAGAAGATACCAATGTGAGATTTCTAAAAATAGCTACAGCACTCGACTGAAGGTTTAAGAATCTGAAGTGCCTTCCAAAATTTGAGAGGGATGAGGTGTGGAGCATGCTTTCAGAAGTCTTAAAAGAGCAACACTCAGATGTGGAAACTGCAGAACCCAAACCACCAAAAAAGAAAATCAACCTTCTGCTGGTGGCTTCTGATTCAGATGATGAAAATGGACATGCATCAGTCCGCTCTGTTTTGGATCGTTATTGAGCAGGACCCATCATCAGCATGTACATATGTCCTATGGAATGGTGGTTGAAGATTAAGGAACATATGAATCTTCAGTGCATCTAGCATGTAAATATCTTGCGACGCCGGCTACAACAGTGCCATGTGAACACCTGTTCTCACTTTCAGGTGACATTGTAAACAAGAAGTGGGCAGCATTATCTCCTGCAAATTGTAACCAACTTTGTTTGTCTGAGCGATTGGCTGAAGTAGGACTGAGTGGACTTGTAGGCTCTAAAGTTTTACATTGTTTTATTTTTCAATGCAGTTATTTTTTGTACATAATTCTGCATTTGTAAGTTCAACTTTCATGAATAAGAGATTGAATTGCAGTATTTGTATTAGGTGAATTGAAAAATACTATTTTGTTTTTTTACAGTGCAAATACTTGTAATAAAAAATAAATATAAAGTGAGCACTATTCACTTTGTATTCTGTGTTATAATAGTAACAACCAGTCTTAGAGTTCTGGACCCCACAATCTGTGTGTTACTGTGCAACACCGTAATGACTTTATTTAAAAAATCTACAGTGTTTAAATCTTCCCAGGGTCTCCTTAAAGAAAAGAGTGGGTGATTTCGCCCCGCGGAATCTAAGCATAGCTGTACAAAATCTTCAGGCCCCACCTGATCATTAATATAATCTAGCAAATTTTGAATAGCGGTGCCAACGGCCGCCATGGCCTCTGTGAACCCCGTTACTCTGTCCAAATTAGCAAAATGCAATTCTTGAAAATATTCATAAGCATTAAATTCTCTTAGGGGTCTTATCCAGGGTCTCACACATTGCAAATATACCTGAGGAGGTGTATTCGGAGCAGGAGAATCTGCACCTTCAGAAGCAGGAGCCCAGGGGTCTATGTTCATTTCTCTTCCTTGACTGGGGGGGTCATTTCCTTAAAAGAACTCTGGCTTTTAAAAGTTTCTTTGCCAAAAGCCTCCTCAATCTTTTAGATTTCTCCCACTTTTTTCCCCCCACCCTCTCTTTTTGTTTTTAGGTTTCATGTTTAGTCACACCCACCCTTCCCCCTTCACCATGCTTTCTACCTTTACAAACAGCACAAACCTTTCTGTTATCTTTTGGTCTAAAACCACCCTTTCTTCTGGAGAATGTTGCTTTTGAAAAGCCTCAAGACTTAACAGATAAAAAGGTTTCAAAGCTAAACGGTTAAGAGACGTACAAACACTAAACAGCTTGTTACAAACAACAACTGATGCAACAAGACCTGCAAGTAGGTTGTTATTTGTAGCAACAGGTCTGCGGTGATCAGAATCAGGGGGGCCATCCCCTTGACCCCGCTCACGCCCACCCCTGGACATTGCTGCTGCTACAGGGTTGTTTGTCTTTACCCTTTCTAAAGCTGATTACTTCTGTGCTGTGAAGGCATTGGGGTGTTCCGAACTGGGGGCTTTGACCCCTTTGTGTCGCTTACCAACATCCCTGGAAGCTGCAGCTGCTTCAGAGGTAGGTTTCTTGGCTCTGGATGTGCAGGGCTGTTCAAAAATGGGGGGGGTCCTGATCCCCTTGTTCCCACCCCTGGAAACTGTAGCTGCTTCCGAGGAAGAATTCTTGGCCCTTTTTAAAGGTGGTTTGCTCTGTTTAATGAAGAGTTTAGTTGAGCAGGCTGTTCAAAATTGGGGGGTCTGATCCTCTTGTTCCCACGCCTGGAAACTGTAGCTCATTCAGAGGGAAATTTCTTGATGCCTTTAAGCAACGTCTCCTTCAATATTTCTTCTTGTAGGATAACAGTAAGTCTGCCAATACACAGAAACAAAAAGGTTTTTAACACATAATCCTGTATGTTATTTTTACTAACAGCAACAAACAATCCCCCCCATACATCTCTTTCAAAATCTTTTACACATAACCCATCCCATGACACTGAGACACTTTTTAAAAAGAACAGGAGGACTTGTGGCACCATGGAGATGAACAAATTTATTAGAGCATAAGCTTTCCTGAGCTATTTCATCGGATGCATGCGGTGGAAAATACAGTGGGGAGATTTTATATACACAGAGAACACGAAATAGTGGGTGTTATGCTCAAATAAATGTGTTAGTCTCTAAGGTGTCACAAGTCCTCCTGTTCTTTCTGCGGATACAGACTAACATGGCGGCTACTCTGAAACCTGAAACACTTTTTAGATTCATGGTGCTGAAAAACCCGTGTTCAAATACAACGTTAACAAAGTGCTATTCCCACGTACGCCAGACGGGTACAGTATAACTCCAACATTCTCAGCAACGGTCAGCAAACCCTTTTTCATGGTAAAACCTCTGGGGAAAAGGCAGCTCCTTTTTTACTAACAGCAACAAATGCAGCCCCCTCCCCCCCTTCCCCTCCCGCACACATGCCAATGCATAACTCCGGGGGGGGGGGGAATGTACACTAATTTCAATAACAGTTATTTCAAGCACATATTGAAAAAAGAACAACTCATACCGTCTTCTGTAATGTCAGGAAAAACTATTTGTTGATTTTGACTTCCATCTTGGTCTAGTTAAAAAAAAAAAATAAAAGCCTTAAAAACATTTCTTTTAAAAATAGACCATATTTGTGTAACGTATTAAACATCTTATCAAAATTTCTTAAAGCTTCCAGTGTGGATTTTGGTATTTCAAATAAAAAGCTATAATCTTTTGGCTAAACAACCCAAAATGCATTTAAAACCATGGTGGCACGCACACAATAGTAATTTTTCTGACCATGTCGTTGCTCCCCATGATGACAGAAGTCTTGTGTCAGCAATATTTCTTTGAACGCAATAGCAAACTTTCTCTCTCTATTTTAAAAAAAGGGTTTGGGGCCCTCTAATAATAAAATGTAAAAAGGCATTTCTTCAGAAAAACTAGGGGGTGTGAGGGTCATTTTTTCTAGGAAAAAAAGGAGTGGACATGTTGCTACATATTTCTTCAGACTTTACTTGTAAAAAAGTTCTTATTTTATTTATAATTAGGCCATTTAAACAGTTAATAAAAATTGTAAATGGCAATGTGGCCATTAACGTTTCTGTAATCAGGAGACTTTAAAATCTACACCTCTTTCCCTGTAATTAATTTCATGGCCCTGGCTTCTGTTTAATGGTAACTAAACAGCTTTTTAAAACAAGCTTCCTGGTTCAAAAATAACCTGTGTTAAACTTATTATTAAAAACCATAAAATTTTTTTTCTTCTTATTTTATGTTGTTAAAAAGGTGTCTTTTTAGACTGCTGTGGCTTTTAAAGCCTACACATTTGTTTCCTTTAATCAAAGTAATATATAAAGCAACTATACAAGCCTTTTGTGTTTTATTGTGTATTTTTTTTAATTTCATATTATGTTCTAAGCATTTTTTTAAAAGTTACAATTGATATGGGTTGTAACCAGGGCTGGATTACCTGATAGGCAGACTAAGGCACCAGCTTAAGCAGGGGGCACCAAAAAAAATTCGATTTTTTTTTTAAATTGATATTTGATATTTTAAAAAAAGCATTGAAGTAGTCATCATGGGGAAAATCAGAACTTTGTTAGACTTCCTTACACTCCACTTCCCCCGTTTTTCTGTTCTCTTTTTATTACTTATCCCCACGTAAACCAGGGGGGCGTCCTACTAGCATAGATCGAAATAATGCGAGGAAATCAGATCCTGTCATGTATTGCAATAAATTTATGTTTTATTATTGTAAGCATAAATTTATTGTAATAGATGACAGGATCTGATTTCCTCGCATTATTTTGATCTACGCTAGTAGGGCGCCCCCTGGTTTAGGTGGGATAAGTAATAAAAGTTATATATATATATATATATATAGTGTATGTTGTATAATTTGTTGACCATGTGGAATAAAATTTTACAACACTTTTACCACACAAGTCAGGCTCTCCAAGAAAAAGAATTGGATTTGAACACATGTGCAGACCTCTGTCAATCATTAGCAGACCACTTACACACTTTGAGGAATGATTTTGAAAGATTTGAAGACATATCAAAAGATATCTTGCCTCATATTAACTACAAAGAAGCCCAGTCCCGCAAGCAAATCAGGAAAAAACAAGCAAACGATAGCAGTGCATCAGAAACAGCATTGAATTGTAGAGACAAATTTCATGTATCTACTTACTACGCTATAATTAATACACTTGAAGCTCATATGAAGAGGAAAGGTGAAGTGTACAAAGAAGTATCAAGTAGATTTTCTTTTCTAAATGATATGGACTTATCTGACTAACAATATTCACAAGGTTCCCAAAAGCTAGTTGACTCATACCTTGTTGACTTGAACATGAATCTCTGTGGAGAAGTATGGCACTTCCACTATTATATGCGTGCAAGGTTTAATGAAACAGGAAAAATTAAATTCAGTCACACTGATCTTCAGGAGACAATTCAGACACATGATCTTCCCCAGGAGGGAAAGTGGGCAGAGGAGAAAGCCCAAGATAGGGAAAAGGGGAGATTCCCCGAAGAAGGGGCTACAAACCCCCAAGCCGAAAACCCCTAGACAACAGATCCTGAGAAGAGAGAGGGAAGCTATGGGCGAGCCGTCCACCCCAGGGCCCTTGACTGGAGAGCAAGAGCTGGTGGAGGCCCTTATTAGCGGACCCCCAAAGGAAGAGACCCAAGCCCTGTGGGACGAGCGTGCGGAACAAGAAGCCCTGAGCGTCCAACCTGAGCTTATCAACCATGATAGCATAGCCAACCAAAAAACAGGACCCCACTTTAAGCTCCTCACCCTGAAAAAGCATGTTGAATTTGGATGTTCTCTGCGTTGGCTATGTACAATAGCCAATGAATGGTGGGCACAGGATCTCTCTTCTGCTGCTTATGATAATTTTGTGGGTTTTTAAAAAAATAAATCAGTACATGGCCACGCAAATTGATGCTAATATAATGTACTGAAAGAGGGCTATACAGCCTCACAATACTGTCTTGGGTTTTTAACAAACTGCTTCTTTTTCATTTTCATGCTTTCTTTTCTGAACTGGTCACAAGCCTCTTCCAAAATTTTAACATTTCTGTCAATAATAGCACAGTTCTTTCTGTAGATCGAATTCATTCTGGTGCTTATGTTGGTACCAGTTCAGAAATTCCATTTTTTCCTCCCGGCATCATGTATTCTACTTCAGAGTGCTCTATCGGAGGCATAAGACCCATGTATTTCAGATTTTCAGCAGAGCAGAAAAATGCGGAAAATACCCCTTGACTCCCTCTAGCCCCATAGCCTTGGGGTAACTTGTTGTGTTTCAGGGCCAGAAAATTAAAGGATCTATACATCTGATTTCTGAGTCTGCTGCCATCACACACATTAGTTTCCTGCCTTGCGTTACAGACCTGACAGCCATTTTTTCTTTAATCAATTGTCTAAGGATGAAATAACTGTCATAATCTTTAGTGTTATAATTATATCCATTAAAATGCTTGCCTTCTAAAGACTGAACAAACTCACTGACACTTTCTTCCCTCTTAAATTCCAAGCTGCTTTCTTTATCTAAATGCAAGGGAGAAACACAATTTGTCACATGTACCCTTGTTTCTTGTATGCATCTAGAATTATAAAACACATAATCCTTCCCCTTTTTTGGAGAGCAGATATTACGCATATAACCCTCATGGCCGTGTATGCTGCTTGTCTTCTGATAACACTAGGGGCACTTCTTGCTTTTACACTGATGGTTTTTAACATTGTAGAAGCCGCACTTATCACAAAGTCTTCTAGTTTTACAGTCAACTTTACCATCTGCTGCCAGAGCGGTCTCTTGCTAAGCAGGCCTCACACCTGCAAAATAGCTTACACCTGGGACATCTCATTCTTTTCTCAGACACTTCAAGGCACTCAGTGCTAATACACTTCTGGCAGTGGTTTTTACAGGCAAGCTGGTGTTTGTGGCTATATGTAGCATGGCAGCTTTTGCACAAATATGGTGCTCCTATAAAGGCTTTAATATTTAGGATGCCATAACAATGTTTGTCTTGTAACAGAACAAAGACAATCTTAGGTGTCATTCCCCAGCTATTGTAAAAAGCACCACTTCCCACTTTCATGTGGCATTACTTTAATAGTTGTGCCTAAGTGTTCTTCAGAAAGCGCTCACATCGGTAAAGCTGATCATCTTTCGGTCTGAAAGCCCCAACTCCTGGTGGAGCCCAAAAAACTGATGGAGATGTTTGTCTCCCTCTAATATTTGGGCATCTGTGGTGGTTTTTATTTCATAAAGACCCCAGAACACTACCAGCAAAACACAGCTTCTTAGCCTGGTTAAATTGATTACGTTTCCCTTTTTTTTTTCTGATTACTTTACTGTACATGATTGTCTTTAAGGGTCTAACAAGCCTTAGAGTCCCAGACTCCATGATCTCTGCCTTACTCTGCAATATGTTGATGACATTATTTAAATAATCTAGTGTTTAAATCTTCCCAGTGTATCTGAGTAGAGAGGGTGGTTTCACCCCGGAGCATCTAAGCGTAGCTGTACATCTTTGGGCCCCAACTGAAAGTAAGATAGTCTACCAAACTTTGAACAGCAATGCTAATGGCCACCATTTCCAGAGGGAAGTCTGTCAAGCTGTCTAAATTAGCGAAACAAAATTCCTGAAAATACACATAAGCATTAAATTTCTTTTCTGTGCCTCATCCACTGTCTCACACTTTCCAGATGTACCTAAGGAAACTTCTCTGATGCATTACAAATGGGAGATTCCACTCCTTCAGAAGCAGAGGTCGGCAGGGGAGGTCTATGGCCATTTCCCTTTCTTGGCTGGGGGAATTTTGTGATCATCCCTTTTTTCCCCTAAAGTGCTTTTTTAAATTTCTTTGCCAAACTCCTCAACCATTTAGATCTCTCCCACTTTTTTCTCCTCCCTCTTTTTACGTTTTTAGGTTTCATATTTAGTCACAACTGTCCTTTACCCTTCACAACTTTTTCCAAACTTACAAACATTACCTGTGTTTCTGTTATCTTTTGATTTAAGGCCTTCCTATCTTCCGGATAATCTTGTTTTTGAAACAAATAAAAAGCTATATTCTTAAGCTTTTTCCCTGTTGAATGCCTAAGAGATGAAGAAGACCTAAAGTCCTTATTTCAAACAGCCATCACTGAATCAAAAGCAGCAGAAGCATTTGACCTGGTA